GAACAACTACTCTAATTAGGGACTTCCAAACCTGCACATCAGCGTTTCGAAAAGGATGAATCGAGTCGGAAGTAGGGTATAGTCAGAAGAGTTCCCATCCTGTCACCTGGAAATTGTACCTAGCATGTTGCCAGGAAAACTTTGTAAATGAAATAGAGGAATGGTTCTCGATAAAGGCCTACCACGGATGTGCTAGAAGGGGAAGCTGCTCCGGCACAGCACCACTTCTTTCTTCTTCATTTTCCTTAACTAATGATAAGTTTCATCATCGTACGAATGTCCAAATCTTTTTTACTTACACGTACTACTTGCTCTTCAGTCAAGCCAATCGAACGGGCTGCAAAGTTCGATGGAAACGCTTTCTTGGAAATCTCCGCGGACGAGTTCCCTCATTTGACCTCTGAAAAGCTAGAAACTGTCGATCTCAAATTCAAGACAACGGAATCTGAAGGGGTACGTTACACCTTCTCAATGGCCAGTTTCTTTTTCTGTAGATTCTGATTTTCAGGTGATCTTCTGGCAAGGACAGCAGCCAGGTACATCTGTTGTTGGAGAAGATTACTTTTCGGTCGGATTGTCAAATGGACATCTGCATTTCTCGTTGGTACATTATTACGCCTGAACCTGTGCTCTCTTTTTCCATTTCAACCGCTCGACTCCCCTCTTTTCCTCTCAACTTAGTTTCTCCTTCTCTTTACAGTGTTCTCTCTGTTTCTCAGCAATAACCTCTCCCTCCATGAGCCTCTCCTTTAAACCACGAAAACGCAGTGGACTGTCGCCCTGTTTCGTGCTCCGCTATTATTTGCTGCCGTCTGATTTCCCTATATCTCTAGTTGCTCTTGTAGGTATGAGCTAGGAGGAGGAGCTGCCTATATGGTCTCTGAGTCGAGAGTCGATGATAACAAGGAGCATCACATTCGTCTTGAAAGGTAGGAACTTCTTTTCAGGTTCTCTGCTTGACTCTGGCTGGTCTCCCATGAACCTAAGCTTTTCCAGACAAGGCCGTCGTGGAGTTTTGAAAGTTGACAACCAGGTCGAACGGAGTGGCGTCAGCAGTGGTATTCTGGCAATGCTAAACGCTGATGGGAATATTTTCATAGGTATTTTTTGAAATATTGAATTTTTGGGACAGATCTCATTTCACTTGAGTTTAGGAGGAGTACCTGACGTCTACAGGGATACAGGAGGACTTCATTCCAAAAACTTCATCGGATGTATCGCTGATGTAGCACTGAATGGCGAAATAATTGATCTTATGGGTACAGCTATTGATGGAAAGAATGTAAAACCATGCGACGAATGGATTTCTCCTAGGAGGAGGTGGTTAAAGGGCCGAAGGTACGAAACTTCGTATAGCTGACTGCAAAGATTTCAAAAAGTTCTTTGGCCCATATTTTTATAGTAACAGGAGGGATTCCTGAAGCCTTTCCTCGAAAACTTTTTAGAGTACCAACATTCTGCAGAGGTAGCCAGAGGTCCCGTCTAGCAACTATCTATCATTTTATTGCCTTCAGATGCTTTTTCTGAGGCAACAGCGGGAATAAAAGGTAGAAGAAGTAGATCCCCATTTTAAACTGGGAAGTGGGTGCAGTATGACTTCAAGGAAAGCACTTTGCGTGGGTATTAGAACTGAATGGTACGAAGGGAACAGTTGTAAAGGGAGGGCCGGAAGACAGAGCGCCTAAATGAGAGAGACCCAGGCTGTTACGAATTAGTACGGAGCATGCGCCATCGTCTTTTTTTCTTTTTTTTTTTTTTTTAAAGGAATCAATCTTTCATTATTTCGCCAGAGCTGGTTAATGGGACCCACTGGCCAAACCAAACCTACTCCCGACCCGAGTC